ACTTTGGGAGGCCAAGGCGAGTGGATCACGAGATCAGGATATGGAGACCATCCTGGTTAACACAATGAAACCCCATCTGTACTAACAATACAAAAAATTAGCTGGGTGTGGTGGCACTTGCCTGTAGTCCCAGCTACTCTGGAGGCTAAGGCAGGAGAACCACTTGAACCCAGGAGGCAAAGGTTGCAGTGAGCAAGATCGCACCACGGCACTCCAGTCTGGGCAACAGAGTGAGACTCTTCCTCAAAAAAAAAAAAAAAAAAAAAAATCATGATTAGTTATCATTGGCAATGGAAATGAAAGTCAGAAATTCAATAGGGAAAGTTTACTTTTCAGCCAGGCATGGTGGCTTATACCTGTAATCCAGCAGTTTGGGAGGCCAAGGCGGGCAAATCACCTGAGGTCAGGAGTTCGAGACCAGCCTGGCCAATATGGTGAAACCCTGTCTCTACTAAAAATACAAAAATTAGCTGGGCATGGTGGCAGGTGACTATAATCCCAGCTACCTGGGAGACTGAAGCATGGGAATTGCTTGAATCTGGGAGGCAGAGGTTGCAGTAAGCCAAGATTGTGCCACTACATTCCAGCCTGGGTGACAGAGTGAGACTTCGTCTCAAAAAAAAAAAAAAAAAAAAAATTACTTTTCAATTTTTACTCTTCCATATGTTTTTACCATATGTACATATTTACCTTTTTACCACATGCACATATTAGATTTTCTTAAAGAAATAAAGGAATTAAACAAAATTTGCCAATGCATTATTTTGTGGCATTAATATCAAATAGCATTTTTTTTTAAAGGAAAAAAAGCTGGGTACAGTGGCTCACACCTGCAGTCCAAAAACTTTGGAAGGCCAAGACAGGCAGAGATCCCTTGAGCCTAGGAGTTCAAGAGTTTGAGACCAGCCTGGGCAACATGATGAAACCCTTTCCCTACAAAAAATTATACAAGTTTGGAGACATGCACCTGCAGCCCCAGCTACTTGAGAGGCTGAGACACAAGAATCACTTAAGCCCAGGAGGTGGAGGTTGCAGTGAGCTGTGATCACACCACTCCAGCCTGAGTGATGAGAGAAGACTTGTCTCAAAAAATAATAATAGCTTTTGTGTGTGTGTGTGTGTGTGTGTGAGACGGAGTTTTGCTCTTGTTACCCAGGCTGGAGTGCAATGGCGCGATCTCGGCTCACCGCAACCTCCGCCTCCTGGGTTCAAGCAATTCTCCTGCCTCAGCCTCCTGAGTAGCTGGGATTACAGGCACGCGCCACCATGCCCAGCTAATTTTTTGTATTTTTTAGTAGAGACGGGGTTTCACCATGTTGACCAGGATGGTCTTGATCTCTTGACCTTGTGAACCACCCGCCTCGGCCTCCCAAAGTGCTGGGATTACAGGCTTGAGCCACCGCGCCCGGCCAATAATAGCTTTTTAAAAAACTATTGAAAATTAAAAATGGGTTCAACTTGTGGTTATAACAAACAGTTAAATAATTGATATGGTTAGGCTTTGTGTTCTCACCCAAATCTCATCTTGAATTGTAATCCGGGAGGGATTGTAAAACCTGGGAGGAGATGATTGGATCATGGGGGCAGTGTCCGCAATACTGTTCTCATGACAGTGAGTGAGTTCTCACAAAATCTCATGGTTTTATGAGTGTTTAACAGTTCCTCCCTCACACACTTGCTCTCTCTCCTCTTCTGCCATGATTGTAAGTTTCCTGATGCCTCCCCACATTTAACTGTGAGTCAATTAAACCTCTTTCCTTTATAAATTACCCAGTCTCTGGTAGTATCTTCATAGCAGTGTGAGAACAGACTAATCCAATAATTGGATGCTGTGGTTCTATATATAAATCATATTATACATTAATATTATACTATACAGAGTTACCTATATTCTACAACTAACTCAACATACAGATTACCTTCAGAATTCACTTGTTTCTTTCATAATTATAATTGTTTTCTACCATAGCTACTGCGCCTTTGTTACTTAGGTTTCCAGCCTTTGGTCTAATTGAAAAGAAAGCGTCTTACTGGTGTGCCAGCAATAGAATTTAAAAATCTTTAGTCTGGAATATTGTAGTTTTGCAGACCTTAATGGCATTGCCCTTGACTGGAGATGCACATGCAAATTCATTTCCTGTCAGCTTTGCTGAGGCTAATGGGCTTTCCCATTGCTGCAGTTTTCACTGACCTTTTATGATTTTTTGTTTTTTGAGACAGAGTCTCACTCTGTCACCAAGGCTAGAGTGCAGTGGCACAATCCTGGCTCATTGCAACCCAGCCTCCCAAGTAGCTGGGACTATAGGCGCATGCCACCAGCTTGGCTAATTTTTGTATTTGTAGTACAGACAGGATTTCACCATGTTTCCCTGGCTGGTCTTGAACTCCTGACTTCAGGTAATCCGTCCACCTTGGCTTCTCAAAGTGCTGGGATTACAGGCATGAGCCACCGCGCCTGGCTCACTGACTTACGTTGACAGTGCAGTGGAGGGGGCTCTGAGCACAATGCCATCTGCTGGCAGAGTTCCTGGGAGAGAAGAAAGAATAATGCCCTGCAAGAAACCCCTTGTTTTTGGAAACCAGAATGTCAGGCTCTATCAAAAAGGTTTTATTTTCCTCCTACTTTAGGGTATGTTCAGGTGAAGGCAAGAAGACCATTAAAAAGGCCTGAAATTAAAGTGTATATAAATGCTTCCATAAAACATTTAGAGTACTCCACTTTCCAGAACTTTGAGGAAAATGTTAAATCCTGTGGTAATATCTGATGATTCCTCTCATACATTTGTATAATTGAGATCATTGTGTAAGTAAATAAGAAGAAAATGAGAAATCGCCAGGTGCGGTGGCTCACGCCTGTAATGCCAGCATCTTGGGAGGCCAAGGCGGAATGATCTTAAAGTTAGGAGTTCTAGACCAGCCTGGCCAACGTAGTAAAACCCCTTCTCTACCAAAAATACAAAAAATTAGTCAGGCATGGTGATGGGTGCCTGTAATCCCAGCTACTCGGGAGGCTCAGGCAAGATAATCGCTTGAACCTGGGAGGCAGAGGTTGCAGTGAGCCAAGATCGTGCCACCGCACTCCAGCCCAAGAGGCAGTGCAAGACTCTATCTCAAAAAAAAAAAAAAAAAGAGAGAGAGAGAGAAATCTATGTATTTCTTTTTTTTTTGTCTTTTGTTTTTGTTTTTGTTTTTATTTTTTTTATTCTTTGAAATCTATGTATTTCTTTGTTAATAAGAATAAAGTGGCTTTTTTAAAAAGCAGAATTATCCAAAAAATTACTTATCCCACATATGTAAGATGTACATTAAAAAATATATCAAGACTTCACCAAAAGAGTGGCTCTACAGTCCCAGAAAACAGCACTAATAAATAGGGACTGCAGGATCACTCAAACTGAATGACGATATATTTAGAAGCTGCTTTTGCACCAATCTAATAGTAAACTTGCACAGGGACAAACTTCAATTTCTGACCATTTTGGCGCAAATTAGATTTCCCTAGAGGTCTAATGTGATGTGAAAAATAGGTAGTTTAAGCTAGCTCAGCAAGTCAGAAATCAGTGGAAAGTGCTAGTACTGCCTGTAAATGATGACGTTGAGAGGTCAGAAGTTATTACACATTCAATTTCTCCCAGACAAAAAAATTAAACAAACAAAGTAGTTGCAGCCAGTGGTGTCCTGGTGGTTATCTAACAGCCACTCCCACATTCCACATTCCCCTAAACACAAATACGAAAAATCTAGGTAACAATCCTATTGCAGGCTGGTGCCCCTTGTCAAAAATTGGTTCAAATTTACATGGTTATTGCAAGGGGCAAGCAAGGCACAGATATCAACCTACCTGCTTCAGAGCAACTAGATGTGACAAACTCTTTAAGGAGAAGGACTATGTGTTCTATCTATCCTGGTCTCTGCAACCCTCAGCTATACATGGATTTCATTGTATCCTCCACAGATGTTCATTCAAATGACAATTAATCAGAGTCATATTTCAGTGCCAGGTACAGTGGTTCATGCCTGTAATCCCAGCACTTTGGGAGGCCGAGGTGGGTGGATCACTTGAGGCCAGGTGTTTGAGACCAGCCTGGCTAACATGGTAAAACCCCATCTCTACTGAAAATACAAAAATTATTTTCAGTATTTTCCAGGGTTTGTTGGCTGTGCCTGTAGTCCCAGCTACTCCAGACTACAATATGGTACCTCGACATCCTGAATATTTCAGGCTGAAGGCATTCAAGAAATGGCATGTACAGGGAGGATTTTCTGGCCTTCTGAAGCAGGTCATAAGATGCCTCCTTATACCCAGAGGAGGGGAACATCTTTATCTCTGAAAACACAGGGACACCAAAAGGAATCTGAACAAAGAGGCCTTGCTAAGTCCCCCCACTTTATAACCATTAGATCATATACTTTGTTCCTCCAATAATATTTCTCCATGGCTCCACTCTTCATCAAATCCAGCATTAAAACACTCAGATTGGGACCAGGCATGGTAGCTCACGCCTGTAATCCCAGCACTTTGGGAGGCCAAGGCAGGTGAATCACCTGAGGTCGGGAGTTCGAGACCAGCCTGACCAACATGGAGAAAATTGTCTCTACTAAAAACACAAAATTAGTCGGACATGGTGGCACTTGCCTGTAATCCCAGCTACTCAGGAGGCTGAGACAGGACAATTGCTTGAACCCAGGAAGTGGAGGTTATAGTGAGCCAAGACTGCACCATTGCAATCCAGCCTGGGTAACAAGAGTGAAAGTCTGTCTCAAAACAAAAACAAAAACAAAAATAAAACACACTCAGATTGGCCAGGCACAGTGGGTCACGTATGTAATTCCAATATTTTGGGAGGCCAAGGCAGGGGCTCACTTGATGTTAGGAGTTCAAGACCAGCCTCTGCAACTTGGTGAAACCCTGTCTCTACTAAAAATACAAAAATTAGCCAGGCATGATGGTGGCACCTGTAATCTCAGCTATTTTATTTTTATTTATTTTTTTTCATGAAAGAGTCTTTTTATTAAGACAAATCCAGTAAAATTTGTGCATTTACATATAATCAAAACTGCCCTTCTGAAATAAACATTTGTATTTATTTTAAAAATGGAAATACAATTTCATTTTTCCCAAGCTAATAATAAAGTTCTATTTGGAAAGATAAGTTTAATTCTTAGCATTACCTGAAAATATTTCACCTTCTTTATAAAAGCAACCTAGAGGCCGGGCGCGGTGGCTCAAGCCTGTAATCCCAGCACTTTGGGAGGCCGAGGCGGGTGGATCACGAGGTCGAGAGATCGAGATCATCCTGGTCAACATGGTGAAACCCCGTCTCTACTAAAAATACAAAAAAAAAAATTAGCTGGGCATGGTGGCACGTGCCTGTAATCCCAGCTACTCAGGAGGCTGAGGCAGGAGAATTGCCTGAACCCAGGAGGCAGAGGTTGTGGTGAGCCGAGATCGTGCCATTGCACTCCAGCCTGGGTAACAAGAGCGAAACTCCGTCTCAAGAAAAAAAAAAAAAAAAGCAACCTAGAGAACAAGAATGTTGGATGAAACTTTTTCTTTTGGGATTCCTCACTTTGTGAAATTATCACATATATAAAAGAGTAAAATTAAAATTCAAAGATCCGACACATAACTTACACAACACGAAATTCACTCGCAAAGTTGAAAGCATAATTTTTTCTATATATTCCACTACTATAATCACAAAATTTATAGATAAATGTTTTATGTTAGAAAGTTTATGGCTAATAATCAGCATGAAGATGTTCTGAAATTAAATCAATGCTAAAGAAAGACTATGCTTATAAAATTTTTGATAAAAATATTTATCTCTATTCACTTTACAACATGAAGGTACATGTTACCAAATTATGAAACTATATAGGGCAGTTTTAAAGAATACTCTGAGGCTCCTCTTCTTTTCCATCTTCTTCTTTGACCTCATCTTCCTCTTTTCCTTCTTCCTCTTCCTTTTCATCTTCTTTTTCTTTTTCAGCTTCTTCCTCATTTCCATCTTCATCTTTTTCATGTTCTATCTCTTTTTCATCTTCTTTGACTTTTACTTCTTTCTCCTCTTTTTCGTCTCCTTTCTCTTTTCCATCTTCATTCTCTTACCCGTCTCCTGTTTCCTGTCTTCTTCCTCTTTTTCATCTCCTTTCTCTTTTCCATCTTCTCCATTTCCTTTTCCATCTTCACCTATTTTTCCATCGCCTTTCTCTTTTGCATCTTCCACTTTTCCATCATCTCCTTTCTCATTTCCATTTTTATCCTCTTTTCCATCTTCTTTCCCTTTTTCATCTTTGTCTTCTTTTCCATCTTCCCCTTTCTCTTCTTTGTTTTGATCTTCTTCATCTCCTTTCTGATCTTCTTTTTCATTTTTTCCTTCTGCTGCCACTGGTTCTTTCTTTTCTCCTCCCTCTTCTGTGGCATCTTCAATCTTTTCTTCTTTTACTTCCACAATTTCTTTTTCAGAAGTGGGTTCCTCTACAATTTTGGCTCCTCCATTTTTAGCATTTTCATTGCAGTCTTCTTCAACAACTGCTTCTTGCTTGGTTTCAGCAACAGCTCTGGCACTTGTATCTGCATTTTCTTCCATCATATCACTTTCTGCCTTCATTTTCCTTGGAGTTGATGTTCTTTGGGGCCTCACCTCTGATGTAATGGGCATAAGCATGGCAGACAATCTGGCAGATCTTCTCTTTGGCTCCTTCTTCGAATCACCTTGACTTGCAGCCTTTAGCTAAAGAGCTTGGAAAGGTCCAGGTTTCTCACCCCTGAAGTTTCTAATTACAGCGGTGAATCTCTCTTCTCTAGGACAGTTTGAAGTCTGCGCCGCCTAATGGCACAGGATTACCATTGCATAGCCATCTGGCCTGACAAGAAGTGGAGGAGGGAAGAAAAAAAAGAGAAAAGAAAAGGGGAAGAACAAAGGCAAATACAGGAGAAAGCCATGTCTTTCGTTCCCCCAAACGGGACGGTTCCCCGAGAAAAATCTCTCAGCTATTTTAAACCCAGCATAAAAACACTTAGATTGGCAGGGCACAGGCGCTCATGTCTATAATCCCAGCACTTTGGAAGGCTGAGGCAGGCGGGCGGATCACTTGATGTCAGGGGCTCGAGACCAGCCTGACCAATGTGATGAAACCCTGTTTCTACTAAAAATACAAAAAAAAAAAAAAAAAATAGCCAGGTGTAGTGGCTGGCACCTATAATCCCAGCTACTCGGGAGGCTGAGGCAGGAGAATCACTTGAATGCAAGAGGAGGCAGAGGTTGCAGTGAGCTGAAATTGCACCACTGCACTCCAGCCAGGGTGACAGAGCAAAACTCCATCTAAAAAAAAAAAAAAGAAGAAGAAAAAATAAATCTAAATCTTCATGGTGGTTATTTATCAAATATAAGATTATGGATGTATTTTTTAAAACTGCCTTGAATATTTTTCAATATCTTTATTAGGTGGGCTTTTTACAAACTGACTTGGTGAGCTGTTTCCCCTGTGTGACATCAGCTGTAGCTCACCCTTCCAAACAAAATTGTGTATGGAAACAATTTAACTAAATTAAGAAGAATATCTTATGCCAACATTCACTGAGTTATTTGTGTTACCCAGATTATTTTTATTTTTCTCATAGTTTGAAAAATTAAAATCCTTTCAATTTTTAGAAACAACTTACAGGAAATTTCAGAATATAAATTTGGTTTGACTTTTTTGTTTCAGGGATGAGTAAAAGCTGCTCAGTTAATGAGAGGGCTGTGTGAAATGGGTGACTCTCAAACGAAAGCCATTCAGGGATTAAATGTAATGAGAGGGATTCCCAGAAAGATCAAATGTATGGGATTCACAGTATTCTCTCTTTCTCTAGTTTTCTTCTGAGACTTCCTAACTGCTCCTCTGATAGGTGCCTACTTAATGTGCAAGTATACTTGCATAATGTACATATTTAATGTGCAACTATTTTTATTACAATGTGTTGGGAACTCTAAGACAAATCTGTAAGTATTGAAGAGTAGTGGAATATGGCCACCCCAAAATATGCCAATTTGGCACAAGGGCTATTTTGAGCTAAAGACTCTTAAAAAAACAGCAAGTGCAAGAAAGGTACTCTGACCTTTCCTTTTTCTTCCTAAACACAGGAAATGAAATTCCCATATGGAAGATGTCCTCCCTATTCCTCAAGGAAAATAACATTTTTATCAGAGAGATGGGGAGTTAAGGCTGAGAAAAGTCTGTACAAACCTTATCTAATTCACTCTTACCTTCCTTATTACTTTTCCACCATGAATTGCCCTAGCCGAAGCCTTTTTGTCTCGTCACATTTTCAGAATTTTTTTTTTTTTTTTTTTTTTTTTTTTTTGAAATGGAGTTTCACTCTTGTTGCCCAGTCTGGAATGCAATGGCACAATCGCAGCTCACAGCAACCTCCACCTCCCCAGTTCAAGCGATTCTCCTGCCTCAGCCTCCCAAGCAGCTGGAATTACAAGCATGTGCCACCACGCCCAGCTAATTTTTTATTTTTAGTCCAGATGGTGTTTCTCCATGTTGATCAGTCTGGTCTTGAATTCATGATGTCAGGTGATCCACCCACCTCAGCTTCCCAAAGTGCTGGGATTACAGGCATAAGTCACCACACCTGGCCACATTTTCAGAATTTACTGCCCTTTGTCCAATTCAGTAAATAAGCATTCAATTCTGCTTCTTTTGGTATTCACTTCTATGGGAGAATTTTTATGTCATGTAAAGTTTATATTAAATAAATGTGTATGTTTTTCTCTTGCTAATCTTTTGTTACAAGGGTCCCAGCTGGAAACTTAGGAGGGAAAAAGGGAAAGAATGTTTTTCTTCCCTTACAGTATCCCTCACTACTTCCTCTTCCTTCACTTCCTTCTTAACCAGAACACTCTCCCAAATCCTACCCTTAGTTCTCTTCTCTCACTACATGTTCCCTGTGTTGGTGCTTCTCAAAATGTAGTCCTTAGACCAATGGCATCAGCATCACCTGGGAACTTGGTAGACATGCAAATTACTGAGCCCTCATCAGACTGAATCAAACTCAAGGGCGGCAGGGCTGCAACATGTTTTAATAGACCCTCAGAAGATTCTTACACACGCTAAAGTGTGGAAAACCAAAACCACAGACGTCATGCAATCCCCTCCACCTACAAGACTTCAGTCCTTATAGGCTTGCAACTACTCAGACCTATATTCCTGGCTCTGATCAATTTTATGAGCTTCAGACCTAATTTCCCATGTCTGCTAAGTCTCCCTGTCTGAATACCCGCAGTGTAACTCAAAGTTAAAGTGATACGCTTCCATATTCCTACAAAACTCCCTGAGCGATCTCTACCGTACAACCTGTCCCGTTTCCTACCTTCCCTTCTCCGCTAACAATACCCAACACTCATCTGGTCTATTAGCCTGAAATCTTAGAAATTTATTTATTTATTTATTTATTTTGGAGATGGAGTTTCTAGCTCTATCGCCCAGCCCGATCTCGGCTCACTGCAACCTCCACCTTCTGGGGTTCAAGCTATTCTGTCTCAGCCTCCCAAGTAGCTGGGATTACAGGTGTGTGCTACCACATCTAGCTAACTTTCATATTTTTAATAGAGATGGGGTTTCACCATGTTGGCCAGGCTGGTCTTGAACTCCTGACCCTAAGTAATCCTCCCGCCTTGGCCTTCAAAAGTGCTGGGAAGGCATCAGCCACCACATTCGGTGAAATCTTAGGAATTGTCTATTTTAATTGTTTTATTCTCTTACCGGCCCCCTCTGGTCACCAAGTTCTGATTCTACCTTAGGATCATCTCTTTATGCCCTACTCTCCTTTTTTCTTTCACTGTCTATACTGCAGATTATCAGTAACCAGCATTTTCACCTCCAGTTGATCCAAACACAAAAGCATCCATCGTACTCCTGCTGCACAAAACCCATGAGAAGGAGGGAAACTGGTGGAGAGACTGTGTTGAATATCAGTACAAATTTCATGCTGAGAGTTTCTAAAAATTATTTTCCAGAGGCCTGAGTCTCTGTGAACCTGTTGCCCACAAGTATTATTATTTTTCAAAGCATCAGTCTTGTCCTGTTAAATCTCTTCTCAAAAACTTTCAAAATTTCCCATTGTCTGTCTATAAACAGTTCCAAATCCTTAATATGACAATAAGTTGTTAATCCCTTGCCTCTTGCCATGATGTGGTGGTCTCAGTCCACACTTCAATTCACACTATTCCTTGGACTGGACTTGGCCTCCTGTTTCCACTCTTCTTTCTTTACCATTTCACTTGCTATCCTTTAAAGACAACTCAAATTCTGTCTGCCTACTGGAACTCATAAATAATCGGTCCTCTTTGTGCTGCCTATGGCAATGTCTTTAACCTCTATGAGAGTTTCATTTCTTCCAGGCTTACAGTAGTTATTTATTTATTTATTTACTTATGAGATGGAGTCTCACTCTGTCACCCAGGCTGGAGTGCAGAGGTGCTATCACAGCTCACTACAACCTCCGCCTCCCGGGTTCAAGCAGTTCTCCTGCCTCAGCCTCCAGAGTAGCTGGGACTACAGGCGCCTGTCACCATGCCCAGCTAATTTTCGTCTTTTTAGTAGAGATGGGGTTTCACTGTATTAGCTAGGATGGTCTCAATCTCCTGATCTCATAATCCACCGCCACGGTCTCCCAAAGTGGTGGGATTACAGATGGAGCCACTGGTCCATGCAGTTGTTAGTTATTTGTATCTTACAATACTGGGATAGAAGATCCTTCCTCAAGAGCGTGGCTAGGGCTGCGATTCATTTTTGTCCCTTAGACCAATTAGCAGAGTAAAGATTTACGGCTGGGTATGGTGGCTCAAGTCTGTAATAGCAATGCTTTGGGAGGCTGAAGCAGCAGAATTGCTTAAACCTGGGAGGTGGAGGTTGCAGTGAGCCGAGATCTTGTCACTGCACTCCAGCCTGGGTGACACAGTGAGACTTTGTCTCAAAAAGAAAAAAAATACGTATGTTTACTTAGGTGGATAAAGATTTACTGGGTTGGGGGAGAGAGATCCAAGATGGCTGATCACTAGCAGCTCGGGATTGTAGCTCCCAGTGAAAGCGCAAAGAACGAGAGGACGCCACACCTTCACATGAATTCTTGTTGCTCACGCACCAGGAGATTCCCAGCGGAGGAGCCCCACGGGTCGCCAGCGCAACTCTTGTGACCGGCGAGGCGGTTTTGCCGGCGCCTCGGAGCGTCGGTTCTTGGTGCAGAGTCAGAGAAGCACCATCAATCTTAACGCTGCTGATTTGGTCGGCGCAGTGGGTTGCTCAGATTTCGGCGCTGAGAATCAATAAGTTGGACGTCCACTCGGAAACCCAATTACAAAGACGGTAAATACAAAGACCACAGATGGATAAATCTACAAGGAAGGGAAGAAAACAGTCAAAAAAGGCTGAGAATACCCAAGATCAGAATGCCTCTCCCTCAGCAGGGGATCACGGTTCCTCAGCAACGGAACAAGGCTTGATGGAGAACGAGTGTGTTCCAATTACAGAAGCAGGCTTCAAAATGTGAATAATAAGAAACTTCTGTGAATTAAAAGAACTTGTGCTAACACAATCTAAAGAAACTAAGAACTTTGAAAAAAGGTTTGACGAAATGTCAACAAGAATACACAATTTAGAGAGGAAAATTTAGAGATGGAACTGAAAAACACAATACGAGAACTACGTGAAGTATGCACAAGTTTTAAGAGCCGAATTGATCAAGCAGAAGAAAGGATATCAGAGGTCGAAGACCAACTCAATGAAATAAAACTAGAAGACAAGATTAGAGAAAAAAGGATAAAAAGGAACGAGCAAAGTCTCCAAGAAATATGGGACTATGTGAAAAGACCTAATCTACGCTTGATAGGTGTACCTGAATGTGACGAAGAGAATGAATCCACGCTGGAAAATACGCTTCAGGATATTATTCAGGAAAATTTTCCCAACTTAGTAAGGCAGGATAATATTCAACTCCAGGTAATACAGAGAACACCACAAAGATATTCCTCAAGAAGAGCAACTCCAAGACACATAATCGTCAGATTCACCAGGGTTGAAATGAAGGAGAAAATACTAAGGGCAGCCAGAGAGAAAGGTCAGGTTACCCACAAAGGGAAGCCTAACAGACTTACAGCAGATCTCTCAGCAGAAACCCTACAAGCCAGAAGAGAGTGGGGACCAATATTCAACATCCTTAAAGAGAAGAACTTTCAACCCAGAATTTCACATCCAGCCAAACTAAGCTTCATAAGTGAAGGAAAAATAAATTTTTTTGTGAACAAGCAAGCACTCAGAGAATTCATCACCGCCAGGCCTGCTTTACAAGAGCTTCTGAAAGAACCACTACACATAGAAAGGAACAAACAGTATCAGCCTTTCTAAACAATACCAAAAAGTAAAGAACATCAATATAATGAAGAATTTACATCAACTAATGGGCAAAATAGCCAGCTAATATTAAATGACAGTATTAAACTCACATATATCATTATTAATTCTAAATTTAAATTGACTAAATTCCCCAATTCAAAGACAGACAGGCAATTTGGACAAAAAACTAAAACCCATCGGTATGCTGCATCCAGACCCATCTCACATTCAAGGATTCACAAAGACTCAAAACAAGGGATGGAGAAAGATTTACCAACCAAACAGAAAGCAAAAATAAATAAATAAAAAGCAGAAGTTACAAATTTTTCCTCTGATAAAATAGTATTTAAAGCAACAAAGATCAAAAGAAGCAAAGAAGGACATTATACAATGATAAAAGAATCAACGCAACAACAAGAAAAACTAAAGATCCTAAATATATACGCACTCAATACAGGAATACCCAGACATATAAGACTTATAAAGAGACTTAGACTCCCACATAATAATAGTGGGAGACTTCAACATTAATATTAGACAGATCAATGCAACAGAAAATTAACAACGATATCCAGGACTTGAACTCAGATCTGGAACAAGTAAATGTAATTAACATTTATAGAACTCTCCACTTTACACAAAATATACACTCTTATCAGTACCACATCATATCAACTTAGAAGTTTAAACGAGGCCAGGCGCGGTGGCTCAAGCCTGTAATCCCAGCACTTTGGGAGGCCGAGGTGGGTGGATCACGAAGTCAAGAGATCGAGACCATCCTGGTCAACATGGTGAAACCCCGTCTCTACTAAAAATACAAAAAATTAGCTGGGCATGGTGGTGCGTGCCTGTGATCCCAGCTACTCAGGAGGCTGAGGCAGGAGAATTGCCTGAACCCAGGAGGCGGAGGTTGCGGTGAGCCGAGATCGCGCCATTGCACTCCAGCCTGGGTAACAAGAGCGAAACTCCTTCTCAAAAAAAAAAAAAAGAAGTTTAAACGAAATGTTGGTTGGCTCCTTGTTTGTTATTCTCTTCCCTCATTTTCTTTCATGTCTCCATTATTAAGGACAATTATAGGTATACCCATATTTGGACTGCATTCTAGCCCGGGCAACAAAGCAATACCCCCATTCTCTCTCCCTCTTTCTCTTTCTTCCTCTTCTTTATTCTTTTTCTTATTATTCTTTAAAAAAAAAAAAAGAAAAAAAAAAAAAAGATTTACTGGGTGGATACTTATGGAGTGGAAATACATATTGGATCTATTACCACATAAGGGCGGGCTAATGTAGCTTAACTCTCTTGGCACAAGTTGAACACATGAAAGTGTCTCTTCATTTCCTTAGCACAACATCTCTCAGATCTGGCTAACCATGATAATTAATGGGAGAGATTTTCCCCCAAAAAAGTGGATTCCCAAAATATTACCTAGGTAAAAACGCAGGAAAGTAGCAAGAGTGGTAATCTTTTAGGAAAGAGACTAGGCGTAGATGGGAGGAGAGAAGCTTTTACTTTTTACTTTGTTTTATACCTTCAATGCTATGTGAATTTTCCAAACACATGCATGTTTTTGGCCTTTTTTTTTTTTTATGTCAGTATGGGTTATTGAATAGAGGAAATATGGGCCAATTTTGTGTTCTTGTTTATATTTTTCTATGTTTTTTAAACTAGTAATAAAACAGGGCCTCACTCCATCATCCAGGCTGGATGCCACCACACCCAGCCTAATGCACATAAATCTGAAAACCAGGCTGGGTGCAGTGGTTCACGCCTGTAATCTCAGCACTTTGGGAGGCCAAGGTGGGTGGATCACGAGGTCAAGAGATCGAGACCATCCTGGTCAACATGGTGAAACCCCGTCTCGACTAAAAACACAAAAATTAGCTGGGCATGGTGGCACGTGCCTGTAGTCCCAGCTACTTGGGAGGCTAAGGCGGCAGAATTGCTTGAACCCAGGAGGTGGAGGTTGCAGTGAGCCAAGATCATGCCATTGCACTCTAGCCTGGGTAACAAAAGCAAAACTCCGTCTCAAAAAAAGAAACAAAAAAAAAATCTGAAAACCACTACTGAAATGTAAAGGTAGTGAATGGCGGTTTAAATCTGTAATCCCAGCACTTTGGGAGGCTGAGGCGGGTGGATCACCTGAGGTGGGGAGTTCGAGATCAGCCTGACCAACAGGAAGAACCCTGTCTCTACAAAAAATACAAAATTAGTTGGGTGTGGTGGCCCATGTCTGTAATCCCAGCTACTTGGGAGGCCGAGGAAGGCGAATCGCTTGAACCCGGGAAGCAGAGATTGCTGTGAACCAAGATTGCGCCATTGCACACTCCAGCCTGGTGGGCACCAAGAGTAAAACTCCATCTCAAAAAAAAAAAAAAAAAAAAAAAAAAAACAATAATTCTGGAATGCAAATAAAATTTTTGGCTGGCAATATAAATTTGAGTCATCAGCATAAAGTGATCTCTGAGAATACAAAGAATGAGGTTTTTTTGTTAAGAGCAAAAAAAATGAACTTTGGAAAACACCATTGAAAGGATAAGTAGAAAAACAGGTATTCTCTCCTGCTACAAGAGAAAATAAAATTACAACATATAATAAAAAAAATAGCCAGGTGTGGTGGCTCACACCTGTAGTCCTACCATTTTGGGAGGCCTCAGTGGGCAGATTGCTTGAGCCCCAGGAGTTAGAGTTCAGCCTGGGCAGCATGGTGAAACCCCATCTCTACAAAAATTAACTGGGCATGGTGGTATTCACCTGTAGTCCCAGCTACTTGGGAGACTGAGATGGAAGATCTCTTGAGCCCAGGAGGTGGAGGGTTGTAGTGAGCCAAGATAGCACCACCGCACTCCAGCCTGGGTGACAGAGTGAGACCTTGTCTCAAAAAAATAAGAAAAAGACAATTCCAAGAAAGCATGAAAAATAGTACCAAATGCTTCTGAGTTCAGTTGGGATGAGGACTGAAATGTATTCGCCTATTGATTATGGAGTAATATCGGTGTATACATAAAGGACACTGTATAAAGGGAAACACCCCCATATGCTCACATGACCTCCTGTTAAACAATAGCCACTCAATAAATCTTGCATATCAACTTTGTCTTCCTATATTTCTTCTTCTTTTCTCTCTCCCTGTCTCCTTCTCCCTTTGTTTTTTTCCTTCACCTGCCTTTCTGGCCATACTCTTTTCTTCCTCTGATTTCTTTCAGTAAAAGGCAAGGGGAGGTATTTCAGACTTGGGAGGGGATGATAAAGATGGGAAAAGATATCTCTGTAACAGGAATATTTGATTGCCTTAGTCAGAAATCCTAGACTTTTTGAGGAAATTGAGTCCTTTTTAAGTTTAAAAATGAGTAACTGTTGGTATCTGCTAAATTAAGATAATAACAATGGCCTAACATACTATAAATAAATATTTAATTTTTAACAACAGTAGCTACATATTCCTAACGGATATTCAGAGAGATAAATATTATTTGCCTGCTGCCCATTCACTTTCCCCATAGGCAAAGCCTAGAGGGCTAGGGTATTGTCTGCTCCATGTTTTATTTTATTTTATTTGAGACAGGGTCTCACTCTGACACCCAATGCCAGGCTGGAGTGCACTGGCATGATCTTGGCTCACTGAAACCTTGACCTCCCGGGCTCAAGCAATTCTCCTGCTTCAGCCTCCCAAGTAACTGGGACTACAGACACGTGCCACTATACTGGGCTAATTTTTGTATTTTTAGTAGAGATGGGGTTTCACCAGGTTGCCCAGGCTGGTCTCAAACTCCTGACTTCAAGTGATCTGCCCACCTCAGCCTCCCAAAGTGCTAGGATTGTAAGCGTGAGCCACTGCTCCTGGCAG